TCGGCGCCAGCGAATCTGATTGTTGTTGACCATGGTCGCAACGGCCATTCAGTAGCGGGCGAGATCCCCGAGTGCCTCTAACCAGCCTCCCCGGAACGAAAGGAGGGCCGGTTCCTCGAGGGGGCCGGTGTAGAAGGTGTAAGCAAAATAGATAAAGTCCTGAAGATGTTCCAGAGCTATGGGTGACGAGAAGGAAGCACGGCGGAGGTTCTCCAACACTTTGTGAAACCCGTGGGTCCAAAGTCGGATGATGATGTTGTACTTGGTGGGAATGACCCGCAGCAAGGTCGGAACGCTTGGTGATAGCGAGATTTCCATCAAAGTATGCATGAGCTCCGCAAGTCTGATAAGGATAGTTACTCGTATATTTACTCGTATATTATTACTCGTATATTCAAAATTATGCCCGGCTTGGCATTGTACATGTTTGACATTGTGGCTGTGGCATATCTCGCGTTAGTGCTCGGTATTTGTATACGATGTAGGGTTCTGGACTGCACAACAGATATCCACGGGCACTGTGTCTACTCGTGTTCGAGTTTTCGTTTCCAGTACAATGGGATGGCGATTCCCATCGAGCAACATGGTAGGGAAAGATCCCTAAGTGCCGTAGCGCAGCGAGGCTGCCTTGTGTTAATGCAGATGATGGGAGTAAACAAGAGAACTTACTGTTTATGATCTGATATGATCCTAACCCACTTTGTCTGCTCAGCTTCGTCTTCTGATACACCCCGACTGCAGCTCTGAAGGAGCGCCCGTCCTTCGTCGGCATGGTCGTCGGCATCTTCGTTCAGGATCTTCGACTCCAAGGCTGATATGTTCCTGTACAACTTCTTCAGTTGGACAGCAAAAGCATTGCTGCCGGCGTCATCCTTGGGTTTGCCATGGACGTCAAAGTCTGTGGAGGATGCTGACGAATTATCAGTAGTGCCTTATGACAAAGTGAAACTCGAAGAGGCCATCGAGTGGGTATAGAAAGAGGTGGAGGAGGCGGAGACGTAGTCGCCCAAGGCTTTCGAGGCTGCTTGCTGGCACATATTGTTGTACGATGGGCGGGCGAGAAACCGAGAATCGAACAGGGTCGTCCTTGCGGTGATCGTAGAGGCGCTGATTTTGGGAGGGATCCCGTCTCTGTGTTCCGTTGCAGGGAACATGCAAGCTGCTGTTGTACTTGATAGGCGGAGAGACAGAGGTTAGGTCAAAGATGAAAGATAAGAGGAGTAACCAAATGAAAAAGATAGACATACCTCGGTGCTCTCCCCATCCTGTAAACCCTTCTGGAATGCAGAGGAGGATGGCCTTGGCAGCGAGCCAGCAGACGTACACGAACTGGAGGATAGGACATCAGCATTGTTGATGGCAAGCGCGGCGAAGAGAGGAGGGGATACTCACGTAGTATGTCCAGCCGAGGGCGTCGAGCGCGAATGGGTTGACGTACCGGTTGAAGACGAGAGCGACCGAAATGACGAAGTTGAAGACGTTGAAGCCCTTGGCGTGGGGCAGGTAGAGCAGGATCTTGACCGTGTACAAGACGATGAGAGGCGTGAAGGCCAAGCTGGAAGTAAAAGGAATCAGCTGAACTATTCAATGGAGAAATTAAAGAATAGACGTACTCATAGGCAGCGTAGACAGAGAGCGTCCCCGCCCCCATCCTTCGTCTTCGCCTTCTTCCGCGCGGGCTCCTCGTGCTCGATCGCCTTCGTATCGTGTGCGTCACGCGCTGCGAAGCGCACCTCGCAGAACCGGTCTGTGCGCGCCTCGTGCTTTCCTCGTCCCACCCTGCCACTGTCGCTGGGGTCCCGCTGTTCCTTTGCCAATGCCGATGCTGACAGGCATACTTGGCATGCTCGACCATGTTGCGGTTCGCGCCCGGGATGTGCCTCGGTGCGCGTGAGCGAGGGCATGTCTGAGGCGAATGACGTCGCCTCTGTCGTGACCGTGCGGATTGTGCTGAACTTGCCCTGGTTCGAGTTTGATCGGCGGAAGTCGAGCAGACTCGAGAACGCGGCCGTGTCCGTCAAGTTGCTCGACGCGCGGGACTGCCGCGAGGGGGGACCGAAGCCGGTGCTGTGCTGCTCATCCGCAGCGGCAGTGAAAAGTTCGTCGCTACATTTTGAGGACGAGCGCACGCGAAGAGGCGAGCGGGGAGGAACAGGTGGATGCGAGATCGGGGGCACGCTGTCCGTCTCACGGTCGCTCGATGCGATGGGAGTGCTGCTCCCCTCGGTGCTGCTCCTCGCATTCTTCGTGGTGCCGGCCGACGAAGCGCCGGATATAGGACTGTTCGATTACACCGTGTCCAAACCGTCGCAGCACGACTGCTCCGGTTCCACTTCTCTACTCAAGGTTTTGTTATATTGCGGACAGAATATGTCGTTAAGTGAGCCCGTGCAAATATATAATTCAATAATTATGTACAGGGTTAAGATTCTACAGATGCAGGTAACACATTAATTGTCAGCGTAATACATACTAGCAGTGTCCAGTGGGGAAAGAATGCATCAGTTGTGAATGTCTGTGTCAACATTGGCAGACTGAGGCACTTGCGGCCACGAACTTGGTAATTCGGGGAGGTCCACACGACTCCGCTTTGGCGGACGCTGTCCCGATGGGCTATGGCATTGCATGTTACTGTACTTTTACGACCCGAAGTTCAGTCCCCCTGTCCCCCCTCCTTGAACTGAACCTAAGGTAGGTGGACAGTCCCCCCTGTATCGCACCTGTTGAACTTAGTATGGGGGACACGCGGTAGATATAGAAATACCTTGTATATTAGCTTGAAATTGTAATAAATAATCAACAGCTACTCTACTGACCTAAGAAACTAATATACTACTTGGTAGACACAGCAACACTTACCTTGGCTTGTTTCCTTTGTATTGGGGAAGTTGATGACATTGTGGACGGTAAATAGGGCCGGTTCAGTGCCAGTGTCCCCCCTGATGTTGAACTTCGTGTCCCTCAGACCAACCCTCTGAACTTAGGAGGGGGGACAACCGGTTAAGGTAATATCCCCGACGCGCGACTTTCTCACGCCACCGTGAACCTCGGGTCGTAAAAGTACAGTAGTCTGCATGTCCTCGTGAGTTTTAAGTCCATCTGGCACACGCATGCGCTTGGGCGAACTTGCCGTGTCACCGTCTTGCAACTCAGTGAGCGTAACCGATTCCGCGCCAGGCCCAGCTAGCATACTTTCTTCTGATGGACGTGCCCGTTTTTGTGACTTGGAACTCGCCAGGAGCCCTCGGCTCTTTGGCAACGACTTCTGCACCTGGATGGCCTTCTTCGCTCTTTCGACATCACCAAACGAAGGTGGAGCCTGCATGGTGCTGATATTTACCAGAGCTCGTTAATAAAATACACAATGTAGAGTATGAACTGAACTCACCGACGATCTGTGAGCCTTTGGACAAGCTCGGGTTTGTTACCACCAAGCACCAGCCCCGCCCCTCGACACAAGTGTTTCAGAACATCATTAGAAGCTGCTTGCCTAATAGAATCTGAGTATCGTTTGCAGAAATCCAGCTGAATGACACCTACCAATCATGTGGTTGCAATGGAGCCTGGGGGGGATCTTCGAAAATCCGAGGTGAAAGTGCCTGAGGGTTGATAGTGATTGCTTGCAGAGGGTCACTACACTCTGCATCATCACGCCTTGTTCTCTTACCAGCACCATCCCCCCGTGGGAACTTTTTATCCTCCCTCTCCTCCACTAAATTATGCGACATCTATCACCATCGGTTTAGGGATGTCATCACCACTCCACTCCGTTTCACTTTCTGAGGGACGACAACGAGGCGATATACCCATCGGGTGTTGATCACCCACCATCCACCATGCAACAATACTGTCGGCGACATCAGTCCCGCCCACCTCAAATTGCTTCAAGCTGGCGCTCAGTGCTCGAGCCCCCTGTTTGCTCTCCCATCTTTACCCGCAAGGGACATAGCACCCCCGACCCCCGTACGTCACTCATTTGGTACCTCCACGTTGATGGCCTCTTCGGGGTCATTGGCCTCCTATGGGGTGGGGACCAGGTTTGTTGGGTTCCGGCCCACTGTCAAAGGTAGTTGTGAGGAGATGTGGAATAGGGACCTGGTATTGTTTGCAGCACTCTTTTCTATGGCCATTTTACCTCACCGACATGCTCCTTGTGTGCCGCCTCTCCCATACATGCTACCACAGCATACTATACTTGACTTGTGACTTCCTTCGGGTTGCCTCATCCTCTCAGTGATCCTAGTCTACTGCGACGGGATTCCCTCATCTCAATGAGATAGTTTCACTTCTGAAACTACTCCCTTACCACCTTGTATATGATTCGTTTCATTACGTTTCATTCTTCCTCATGCATTGTCTACGGACTACCTAGTGCCCTAAGGGCTTTCTCCAGTGTTCGTTTGTAGTGTTTCGGTTTTAATACATTCCCGCCTAAGGCGGTGTTGAGGCAAAAAAAAAAAAGGTCACTACACTCTGCGCGATCAAACCTGGTGCCTTTGAAACTTCAGCTTGAGGGTCAGTACCGGTGGACTCCACCGAAATACCACCCGGGATGTTGACGAGTTCGCTATCGTTGGTCAGCGATGCGATCACAGCGTTCGTGGGCTGGGGGGCATTGTTGCTGGCTTCGGTGTTTCCATGCTGGTTCCGTTCCGCTTGTTTCTGCTTGTTTGCTCGAATACTTATGCCGCCGCTTGTTTGATACCTTCTTCATCAGTTTCAGGTACAATGTGAGAGGATGGTCTGAGGTGGGAGGGGATAGCATTATTGATGATCTGATAGTTATGCAATGCATTCACGTTCACAATGAAGTGCTCGTCATCGGCATGCTGGACAAATGTTCGTGTTCGTGTTGTGAGCTCGCGCTCTTCTGAAATGTGTTGCGTCCTGCTCGGTTTGCATTCCCCAAGGTAGCAGTCATGTTGGAGGTTTACACTACATATCACATCCTATAAACCATTGAGATCACAGACAAATCACATTATAGCGAGTTTGCCGAGCTTACCGCTGGCGTTAAGACCAAAATCATTTCTGATTTCTTAAGAGTCGGCATACGAAGTGTGGGGTGGGTGTGTCGTTCAGCTTGTAGAGTTGAACAGCAATATAAACACCGTCAGGTGATGATGTCCGGGTGTCTGTAGGTCCAAGTATCTCGAGGATCCTTCCAAAGGCAAGGTCCGAGATTGTACCCTACAAATGTTAACCAGAGTTAGTAATCCGTACATTGATACAGTGGACCAGCAGCGAACTCACAGACTCATGCTGTACAATAGCATTCTGCCCGATCTTGATAATATCGCGTGACTGGGCTACGACGTCCTTGGCGTGATACACAGCATGATCTGGATTCCGTGAGGAGTGTTCACATGCCAGCGTGGAGGTCCAGGCGATCTCCCTCAAGTTGGGCCCACCAACTTTGCCTTGCTCAGACGAATGCGAAACATTGATTGAACCTAGAAAACAATGAGTGGTGCTTGTTGATGAATCACTGACTCGGAGGGACAAACCAGGAGCATGCGGTGTAGTGGCAGATAAACCAAGGAGTGCTGCATACTCGGGTCGATCGCTAACATGCTTGAGGACATTTGGGCTGGCATGTGCCCAGGATTTGTCCTTGCGTTTCCACCACCCGCCGGTAACAATGTGCTTGATGACATCCATGCCAGCAAAGCACTATACAATGTCTCGATTGGGAGCTTGGTGGTTGCTGTGAATGGAGGCTGCTCGGAAGACTGCATTATAAGACTCGTAGCGTTCGGTAGAGAATAGAAGCGCAGGACCGAAGCGCCGAATATAGAAGACGAGATGAATCAGAAAATGGAACTTTGGTTTTGATATAATTATGGATGGACTGCATTTGGCGGTTATATGCAGAAAATTGGAGATAATTTGATTCAAATCACGCTGTAAGCTACGTTAGAAAGAGGAAGATCACAAAATTTGAAGAGAAGGCCTACTGAGTAATCGTCAATATTCTCAATCTCCGTGTGCCAAAGAAGGACCACCATCCTGCCAGTCACTATCCAAGCATCGAGGACGTCCTGTGGGACCAAGCCATGCACCGCAAAGGCCATAACCTGAGATAAGCACTTGAAATGTTTTCCGATCAAACCACCTTTGTACTGGCACATGTATTCTGCCGAGAGCTTTGGGATATTGAGGCCAGACTCCTCGACAGAATGGAGTCGAGACTGGAAAACACCTAGCTTCTTATCTTTTTCAAGCAGGGTCGTTGTTTGCGCCCAGAAATACTTAACAACTCCGAGAAGAATTGTATGTAAGATTTCTGTCGGTGTATCCTTATGAATGTCAACACCTGTTTCAGTTAGTGAGCTTTTGCCATATGGTTAACAAAGGATGAACACACCATCCATCTCCAGCAGCGGATTGAGAATAACACCCCGCCCGCGAGCATTGTAAAGCTCTTGAGAAAGCATAGCTTGACACACATCAGGTGTCACAGCAGCTCGGTCAGGAGTAGCCTTGCGTAAATCTTGGCCGATCTTGACAATGGAGTCAAGAATTGGCTGTGCCAGATGGTCCTTGATGCCGGTGCTTCGGGATGCTTCAGCAAGCTTAGTGGCAGCTCCTGGTTGGCATGCCATCTCGCATTGAGCTCGCAGGTGCTCATAAGTCTCATAACTCGTGCGCAGATTTCCCTCCTGATATCAGAAATGAGCAATAGCACCACAAGAAGTAAGTATATGAATTATTATTACCATGAAAAAACTCTTAAAACCCTCATCCGACCTTTTGTACTCCTGAGTCCCACCGCACATGCAAGTTCTGCAGAAGTGATTGGCATTGAGGCCTGCACAGCTGCAGAGCTCGGACTGCATGGGGTTATCACCAGCAAAGAGTAATGGGTAAACTTGTAAGAGGACCTCCTCTTTTGTTTCGCAATCGTAAGCTTCGACCGGGTTCTGAAATGTCTTCCTATTAGGAGACATAAGTACGAGCCATTACTTGATAATATAACATTATACTCACTCCATTGATGTTCGGATGCCCTGCATCATCTCGAGAGGCGTTGCATGTGGGGACGTTGCTATGAACCGCACATGAAACTCTTCTGATAGTTTCTCGCGTGGCAGGGCACCAGTTGACATATAACACGAGAAGTGTTCATTCCACTGTTTTGACTGGTTTCCGGAGACATCGTCCAGGAAAACAATAACTGGAATCGAGTACACTGGCCGTTTACCGGCCATCTTCCGCAGTGGATGTGGCAATGCGCTGTCGGTATGTTTTATCTGATTGGTAATAAGCTCGCAAATGCTTTACTAGCACCGTGTTGGTGACTCACCTCTGATCGGAAAAATCAGGGCCTTATTCTGCTCAATAATCTCTTCAACGTTCTCCATAAACGTTGACACGCGCACGGCGGCAACTTGATCCGACTTCACTACAAGTGCACGATCCTGTTGACGATTAGTAAGCATGAACACAGCTGACCTTGTAAGACTTACACCGGTATCATCTTGATGAAAATGGTACCCAAAAGCCCACATGCTGGACCCGTTATTACGGGTGAACCAGCGTGTTGGCAGGAACCAGCGTCCATAGGTGCGTGCAACAAGCTCGTTAATATAGTATGTACGCCCATTTGCTCGGACCATAGGAGTCAGGAGCTGGTCAGGTACGTCACGCAGCATCTTGTGTCCATGCCATAGTTGACTCAGCCGCCCTCCTGCATCCTCGGGATAGAACACCATGTCCGGGTGAGTAATAGGGTTTGACATGTCCTGATATTCCTCAGTATGATCCCATTATCTTAACGTAGAATAGATTACCTTTGCAATTGCATCACCGATCTTATTAAGGTACCATACATGACCTTGTGCCGACTCCTGACCTTGTGTCGGACTGGCTATCTCATCCTCGAGCTGCTCCTGTACTTTCGAGAGAGCATATCGAGTCGGTACCTCAGCTCCTAGATCGCGTGCCCATGACAAGATAGCCTTCTGCTGGGCCTGCGAGAAACGAAGCCGGGGTGACTTGAATAGTAGGTCGGTCAGGAATGACTAAGTGGACGTCAGACTTGTCGTGCTATTGGCTGATTGGAACATACCTTCTTATCAGGATATGGGAACCACTCACCGCTGTACTGCGGCTTTGGAAGATTTCGATCAAAGACTGAGTCTGCACCCCAGTCATCTATCCAATATTAGTCACAATTACGCGTTCAAAGAGTGGTTCACGTACCACATGGAAGGTCGTCATCAGTATTAAGCGGCAGACTCGCCTCCGCATCCTCATGAAGAGGAATCTCCATATCCTCAAAGCCGGTGGTTGCAGACGAGATGGCTGCAAGAGCTCGAGCCAGAGATGCTTCAATGGCACTCGAGCTCTCAGTACCAGCTGAGAACAAGACTTCATTACCGTTCCTATCAAGGAACTTGGGTTGGTCGGTGTGATCTCGCGCACTCGTATTGTTGAGACAATCTCCCTCTTCCCATCCAGGCGAGGTAAACGAATCATGATCATCCTCTGTATAACATGAAGCCGAGATTTGGGCTGCTAAACATGCAAAGTTACTGAAACACACCGACGAAACCGGTGCGCTGGCTTTGTGATGATTCAGCGCGGGTGGAAGATTGAAATGCGCGTTCGGCCAGCTGGTCTTGATATTGCTGAACCCTGATCTGGTGCCTTTTAGAGTTGACGTGAGCTGCAATATTCCGCCGGGGCCACCATGGATTTGTGCCGGCCTTGGGTTCACAGAGACGACAGCGTGCCTCTCTGTCTGCATCCCTAAATTCAAAGTCTGAAGGACGTCAGGTCAGCCGCCTCGAAGACAGCAGGCGACATGCGGGATGTATTCATATTGACAGCCCTCGAGTTTGACGCAAGCGTGTCGGCGGGCAGAACGGTGCTGAGGCAAGATCGAAGGTTCACCCTGGCACTGGCTCAAGCCCAATGCTGGACCAGCATCGAAACTCATGGCGCCTCGGGCAAAGCATCCGATGTGGAGTCGACATGGTGATCGGTGGCGCTCCCGCTGGACGTTGGAGCTGGTATCAATGCTGAGCGCTGCTAACCGAGTTAGCATCGCGCCGGTGGTCGGGACAGCCAAGAAACGCTGTGTTCGTCACGGTGTCGGATTGGCTACCTATTCTAGGTACATTCTACCAGATTACTACATTTGCATGCAAATGTCTCCACCGGACCGGGGCTCAATTAGGCGTGTAATTAGACAAAATAAAATAAAGACGAACAACGGTACTGGAAAAGGAAGGCAATTAGCAATGAAACAAGAAAGAATTTGCAAAGTAGCATGTGACCCTCCCTATAGTAAATAGAGTTTACCGCCAACTGTTAAAATGAGAGTGCCTCCCCCCCATACCCCTTTACCTTAAAAAGGTAACGGAATTTTTGCTAGAAAAAGAGACAGAAAATACGTGTGGGAGAAAACCCTTTTCGCTAATTTCAACGCAAGAAAAGCCAAAGGAAAGATTGCCATTTGCATCTCATATCCCCTGTTTTGGACAGGAAAATGAATACTCTTCTCCACAGCCAGCAGAGTTACCACATCGGGCATCCATAACTAGACATTTATCCTTTTCTCACCTAAAAAAGCAGACTCCTAACCAGTCGGTCAGACGTTTTGGTGACCCGGCGCCGAATTTGCCTCTTTCGGAACAAATTCCAAGGTCAGCGGTCTGACTGACTGGCACCAATATCGCGGCTCAGATTTTCCCATACGCCAAATGCGCCGAGTCAGCCCATCTGACCGGCTGGGTTAGGAGCCTGCTAAAAAAGGTGAGCCCGCATCAGCCCGAGAGATATTGTTGCCGCATTTGGCGAACTGGCCGGAACCAAGCCCACAAAACTTGTACTTGCACTCATTATCAGTCCGGATAACACACCACGTCGCCATGTAGAGGCTAAAAACCGCGAAGATCAACACATTGTTATTCGGTATTGTGGCAAGAAAGTGTACTCCAAGGAGGCGCTTTGGGCTGGTTTCACGAACCGCGGCAACACTACTGAGAGATCGCCCGTGAGAAGTCGGAGTTCACGTGGTGCGGGACAACGATGGTGCGAATCCTTCCCACACTTATATTAGGGTGTGCTGCCAGTGAATTTACCTATCCCACACCGAACGCCGGCCTTTCTCTTACTACACATATTATCATCTACAATGAACTCCACAGGAGATCACAGCGTACTCCTCAAGCGAGTTCGTCAAAGAATGGAACGACATCAAAAGAACCAAGCAAGCAGCTCGCCAGAGTTCCATGAAGCGGATTCAGTAACACTTTACTTTCCCTGGTCAATGCCTCGGTTAAACTTCATCCCACAATAGTGTTGCGATACCTGCCACGATGTCGGGAAGGTATGGAAGTGCACCGAAGGCAATTGCGACACAAAAATATGCGTTCAGAACGCCGGGCCTGGATGTCTGAAGCTTCTGTGTGACACACCAAAGGAAACATTTGTATGCCCCATGTGCACAATCAAAATCGGGAAGCGTTCCATGCCGGTATTCCTCCATATTTTTGGCCAGTTGATTGTGCACTCCGCTGACATAAAACGCCTTAGTATCTGGTTGAGAGCTACTTCCGGGGAAGAAAATTAGCCAACAGAGCAGAAAACCCGCTTTGGGTAGCCTTTCTGTCAAGGGAGGCCACCTGCGGCTTCCTCGGAGACATACTCGGCCGGGTCCTGCTTGAGCAGTTCTCCAATTCTTCAGGAAATGTGTGTGTTCCTACTTCAGCTTTCCTTTTACCAGAACTTATCTCGATATTATGGCTGTCTCTCAGCTTTACATTGCCAGGCGTAATGTGGACATATGCCCATCTGATGAGAACACATCCGACACTGTATGGCTGCATAAAGCGGATTACAAGAGTGACGTGTTGATCGTGGTCGACGCTGATTTCGATAAAGCCGCTGGAAACTTGATTACGAGACAGGGTGTGGGTTCTTCATCGAGCCCACTGGTCAGCGAAGTTGGTTCTCAACATCTTCAATCCCAACCGGAAACTCAATTTAACCATAGATCATCCTCAATAACTTTGGAGACGACTTTGTGACTTCCCTCGATAAGATGAACAATCTCATACAACAAGGATACAACCTGACTCGTGGAGTTATAATCCCCCGAGGTGGACCATGTATGAACAATCGCGCAAGCTTGACAAGGCTTCTTCAACTAGTTGAACTGTAAGCAAGCTAATTAGGGGAGGGTGTAACCGCTGATGGTCCACTTTAGGTCTGTCTTTGACTTTGTACTCACATTCACAAACTCGGACACAAATTGCGAAGTCCTAGCGCAAGCTGTGGCACATTTTATGGAAGGGGTGCACATTTATCGTATGGACCCCTGGATGTCTCTCTTGTTGTCATTTGGAAACTGCTCCGTCCTTGACGACACTTCGGCAATACTGGTATGGACTAAATATGAACGCTCCGAAGGTATCCTAGAAAGAAAGTACGTTCTGGCACAAGTCCTTTCCCGAGCAAACCGTACAGTTCGACCCTGGGGTATAGATTTCTGGCGTTGCGACTCCTGCAAACGTCCCATGAAGCAACTCAATTTCAACTTCAGTGGTAAAAACAGATCCATTGACACATGGACCAAGGCCAAGATGACATACAGGTGTCAGGCGTGTGGGTATCGCCGCACGTCCATCAGATGTCCTCAATGGATATACGGAGTGGAAGATCATATGAACTTGGTCCGGTTTCGATGGCCACTAACCAGGGAGCAACTAGATGAAGTGGGAGCAGACTTCCACGAGTCTGTCGTCGTAGATCCGTAGCTCCTGCTGTAGTCCCTTACATCCGCCGAGGTTGACGGAACATCCGAAAGAACCGGTGTCGGCGTTGAATATACAATTTTTTTAATTGGAATCTACACCCTGTTAGCCATATTAGCAGTGTTGTTCTTGGCTTGGCTTCAAGTGGGTGTCGGCCTGACCAAGTCTCAATCCAGTCCAAAGTTATTGGTTCGTGGCTTGCGCTTGGATCTGGTTTGGTTTGGCTCACTCTCTGCACCCAGACGGTTGTTTGTGTACACGGCCAATCGAGACAAACCTTGGGGGAATGTTTTGACGCGAGAAACCTTGCCAGAACCTTGATAGGATCTAGTCGCGCGATACCGCGGGACCTTGCAGCATACTGTACGTTTACAATCCGAAGTTCAGTGCTTTCAGTCTCCCTGTCCCGCCTCACCACCCTTCCTTCAACTTAACCTAAGGTTGGGGGGGGGGGGGGGGGGGGCAGTCCACTCTGTATCGCACTCGTTGAACTTAGTATTGGAGACACGCGGTAGATATAGAAATACCTTGTATATTAGCTACAGAAGTGTAATAAGTATGCAACAGCAACTCTACTGACCTAAGAAACTAGTATACCACTTGGTAGACACAACAACACTTACCTCGCCTCGACCCTACTGTATCCCCTGCATGCTCGTCGTGTGGAGCGGACAGGGAGACAGTACATCACTTCCTAGTAGCCTGTCCAGTGTACATGGCACAATGGGAGCGTCTGCGCCACGAGACTGAAACCTACCATGAACTCTCAAGCTATTGAACCAATGATCAACAGCTGTGAGGAGAGCGTGTACATGGCAGTTATCGCAGATGGTCTAAACGGAGCGTAGTGCATTAGAAAGGTGTAAACGAGAGTAAGCTGCTGATGCACTACTCACACGTTAGTGTTATAACCCCTCGCCAATGTCCCACTCGTTTTGCTCCTCTGACTCGTCGACAGCCTCGACCATGTCTCCGTCCATGTACAGATCGACATCGCGTTCGTCTTCGAGGCTTAGTCCTGGTCCTTCGTCCTCTGAGAGTATATTAGCTGACAGTTGTGTGCAAAACAACTAAGACTTGCCTTCGTCAATAGTGTCTCCACCGCCCGTTAATGTATCAGTGTCTATATCCACGTCGCCACTGGCGGTCGAATCGAGAGGTGCTGACGCTGTTACAGAAGTGTCAGTAGATGTTTGTTAGGATAAAGGTGGTATGGTGGGCGGGGCGTTGTTTGTGTCTGCAAATGAAGAAGAAGCCGTGTTTGGCCCGGTGAGCGGAACCATGCGACGACGAACCTGAAGCCGTCGCTGGTGTTGATTGAAATCTTTCAGCGGGGTACTCGAGCCATAATCGAGCGCTTCAACGCCATGATATCTGGCACGGGACCATCGTCTTTGTCGAGTAAACGCCCCTTGACCTCTTCGTACACTTGATGTGACTTCAGCCAGTCCATCAGTCACGTAGTGATGTCCGCGCTGAGGTCAGCCGCTGCGTGGTGATTTCCTTGTTTTGAGCCAAGGGCCGCATTTATCTTGTTCGATAGCTTGCGAAGGACATTGACGCATGGAGCGACGACTTCGAGCCACTCCCATGACGCGTTTGATCCGTGAGCGCGACAAAATATCTGATCAGACAGTCAGCGTATTGGGTTGAGGGCCTGGAGAAGTGATGGGCCACATCACGCACCTTTACCCAGTAGTTAAGGTGTTCCTGCAGTAGGTCGACTTCCACAAATGCGTTGGGTACACCAGTTGGGTTAACCAACCAATTATTCATAATAACACGTCTTCGAATAGGAGGTGTAAATGCAACGTGTTGGCTTGGGTTCAAATAATTAAAACTTACTTTAAACGCTTTGGACATACTCTTTGCAGATTATGGATGAGATTGAGGGTCTCGTACGCATATTTAGCCCGCACCGCCCCACGGTAGATAAACACCCATATCTTGAGGACAAGGAGGACACGGCCCGAGTCGCCTGCCTTCACGGCATCAGTGAACTCGCGCAGAATGAGGGCGTCGCGAAGGAAGAGAATGGCATTCTCAAACACCATGTCTCCTCGTGCAGCCTTTGTTCCATGAAAGGGTGGGCATAAGTTCTCGTCGCGAGCATCACGGAGATCTTCCACTGTTTGGCTGTTTGCGTATGCGGACACCACCGCCTCCGCGTAACGCTTTAGCTCCCGCAGTGTCACACCGTCTGCCAGCTTTTCGAGTGAGGGTTTGCCTGACACCAGCAACAAACAGTGAAGAACGCGTGCATAAAGGGAGACAAAAATCAGATCACGACACGTACGGAAAGGTGGCAGCGACGACACCGTGATGTGTTTCCGCTCGAGGACAGCATTGTGTGCGGCGAGAGAGGCGGGATTTGATAAGTCGTGGTTAGACAAGCCAAGGTGTGTTAGCATCATCCCATTAGTCGCAGCCATCTTGTAGTGAAATAGGCCCGGAACCCAGCAGGCCCACCGCAGCGCTTCTGCACTACCCTCATTCCCCGCACGCGCTACCTCCAGTGCTCGATCACGAACCAGAGATAGCTGGTTACCCGCAATCAGCTTTGCGGAGCCATAGAAAGATGGGGAAGATGTATCGATATGGAGCTCCTGTAGAACCTCCATGATCACATCAGCATTCCCTATTGTCGAGGACTCGTCTATGTTCATCGCAGGCAGGGGGTGAAACTCGGTGGTATAAACTTCAATTTTTGATTCCGTGGTGGGTGAACATGCTGACACTTCTCCTGCAAGTCGGCCTAGCCCAGCTCTACCATATTGCACTGCAATACGCATGATACAATGAACCAAGCACTGGTGGAATATGCTAGCTTCGGCCTCCGTGTGCTCAAGATCGTCAAGGGTCACTTCTGGCGCTGAGCCTTCGGCCTGGCGGATAAGCTCATCTGTGTCAAGATCCTCAGCAGTTGCGTTGTGAAGGGGAATCAGTGGAGCACAAGTCCCATTCTCCTGTGAGTCTGGAGACAGTGTTTCGTAAGTGTCCCTACACTTTGAGCATAACAATCTCAAGACAACAAACCTTTATGCCCAACAAGTTGCTCCGCCGCCTTCCAGACCATATCTATGTTGTCATAGACAATCATGAAGGGTAAGACGCTCGCAATTTCACGGGTAGTAGCCCTCAGTGAGTTTGATAACAGCTCTAACGTACCCTCAGATTTGCGTAGCTTGGGCACCGGGGGTACTGTGTCACCGGAGTGAGCAAGGTCCATGGGTACAGCGTGAAATCATACCTTCACCACGGCCTGCTTCTACAATCTCACCACTAGAACTAGTGAGCACTGGCGTTGCTGCGGAAATTGACTCGGACACATTGTTTGCCTCACTTCCAGGCTGGGGTTCTGCAGGGATCATGTCGTTCTCGGGTGCGTCTTCACTATCTGCCTTGTAGCTTCCTCGTCCTGCCACTGTCACATACCTTACTGACACCCCCAAGCGGTTCAGTACCGTGACGAGCTGGCGAGAAGCGCCACCAGCATACAGATAAAGCCCAAGTAAGTGCTTCATCATTGAGTTCTGCATGCTGCGCTGTCCGAGCAGCATTAAGATAATGTGCATTACAGTCTGTGCTAGTGTACATGAGTGTGAAACTTGTACAGTGACCAATTCAAAAGCTCACAAATGCCTTATGTTCCAGAGACTTGTTGCTTCCTTTATCTCGCTGCCGTGCAGGGGTGACCATACGCCGGAGCATATCACTGCAAAAGCATGTATACCTGATTATAATGTACTTCGTACTTGATATGCTAGAATAATGTCCCTTTGGCCTGATTTTGAAGTCATGTACCCGGACCTGATATATCAAGTAATGTACCTGGACGTGAAATGCGAAATCATGTTCACGGTGACGTCAGGTGGCGTCGGTGTTTGGAGAGCCTGGCTCCACCTCCAATAAACAAATGCAAATGTTGAACTTAGGTCTTCTCGCGTTGTCTTTTCTTCTGTCTTGACATCTCCGTCGACCTCTGCCATTTCATCCTTCTTCTTGTCCACCGCGTTCACACCTCACGTCAACCTCGCGCTCCCTGCTATCGTATTCTATGGCAGCTCCGGACACAGGCTGCTTGGCCTGTCAAGTACGTTCTCCTGCACCAGGCTGACTTTTTGTCACTCAATGTATTCGATTCAAATGACTCTATACTGCTATGACGTCTATGAATCTTCAA